CAGCACGTGAACTCAGGCAAAGCCACCAAGTCATGGTCTTCTCAATGAAAATGGGAGATCATAAACCATATAGGAAAAGTAGCTACGGCTCAGGGCTGAATAGTGTATAAGCATCAGGCCTGTAAAATAACAGTCAAAGAAAAAGATGAGTTATGCAGATAGGAAGGTAGAAAATCTCCCCATTTGGAGAAATGTGTAAACATTAGCTGGGCACTCCCTTTTCATAACCCTATCAGAGCTTGTCTCACAGACCTGTCAGGTGTCAGTTAGAGTTATGGCTAACATAACTCAGGATGAACCTACCTCAGATTGAACAGATCTTTCTAGACTAAAGCAGGAGTTTTTACTCCAGGTTTGACAGTATAACCCCACTCTGTCCTCTGTGCACTTGGGGACTTGAATCTATTATATGCTGACTATGCCATTGATATAATAAACCAACAGCAGAAGATTAACTGAAAAAACTCTCTAAGAATAGTATTTGGAATGAAAAATAACAAGTGTCTGCATTAAAGGTCTGGTGAAAATTTTTAGTAGTAACATATATTATAAATCACCAGAATATAAGCTTCAAAGGGGCAGGTGTTTGTCCATTTTGTACACTGGTGTATATCTTGCATCTAGAAATGTGCCTGGTTCATGACACAAGAGTAAGCACTTAGTAAGTATCTGTAGAGTGAAGAACAAATTAAAACGATGAAAGAATTCAGTGATTAAAGATTAAAGGTGTGAGTTTTTGTACCTATAAGCAAAAATATAAACAAATATATAGTAAAAATTACTTGGAACTTGGGGGTCCTTTGAGTTAAATATTCAAAAATGATGCTACAACCAACTTCATAATAGACATAAAATACATTTGAAACTCTCTTAAGGCAATAAAAGCATTTGAAAAATTATATTGGCATTTAACTTTCCACACATGTAGTCATATAAATTTCCACAATATTTCTCATTATATGCTATATTTATTTACATAATAGTATTATACTTATTTAGTGGTTTGTTTTAAGTCATAAAAATTAGTTTATTTGATATTCTGCTGTCAATTAGGAAAGGCAGATATTACTGCAAGTTCACGGATAAAGAGATTTGGGCTCAGAAATGTTAAATGTCTTATGGACCACATCAACTATTATATGCTTCTTCAAATAGAACATGTCAGTAATGAAAAAAAAGTTAAAAAAAACCCACACAAAACAATTACAGTTGATTCTTGAACAGCACGGGTTTACAGGTGATGACAAATGTGCACTCAAAAATCCACATATAACTTGTGATTCCCCCAACACGTAGTTCTCCCTAGATATCCAGGAGGGATTATTTCCAGGAACCCCTGGAGATATCAAAATCCATAAATGCTCAAGTCCCCTATATAAAATGGCATAGATCAACTCATACAGTCAGCCTTCCTCTTCTGTGGACCTCCCACTGCTGATCCAAAACAGTAAAAGTATGTATTGAAAAAATCTGCATATAAGTGAACCCATGCAGTTAAATCCATATTGTTTAAGGTGCAACTGTACAATGTAAATAATGTATTCATATACTGCTCAAAGCTGTTTCAAATTTTATGTCATGTACTCTTAGCAATGACATCACAAGGTTGCAATTGTTTTAATTCAGTTTTTCAGAAGCAAAACAAAGGCCCTGTGAGATTGAATAATTGTCACTGAGACACATATTTAGTAAGCCTTGGAGATGGGACACAAGCCTATGTTTTCTGACAACAAATCATGTGCTTGAAAAGCTAACTACCCACCACTTAACTCTTAAGACTATGCTTTTACCAGTACCTCTATGGTTATGTATGTGGAAATGATGCATAACAGTGTACTATGTAAATATACCTTTCTGTTATTATTGTTAGAAATATGATATATCTGTCCTAGAAATTACATATGTACATGGAATTGTTTTTCTTTTTTTCCCACTAGTGGTGGTGTGCACCACCTTTTCTCAGGTCAATTTGACCCTGCTCTAACTATTAGATATTAGGTATAGGTTGGCTGGCTGGCCACGTGAGGAGGATGTTTGTGATTGTAAAATTCAGGTGTGTGTGTGTGTGTGTGTGTGTGTGTGTGTGTGTGACATGAACAAGTTGTAAACATATACTGGGGTTTGAGAGAGGCAGGAATGACCTCAGCATCCCATAGAGAGTTCCCAGGAGCAGGCGATATTTAGGCTGCTGGGAAGCCTCCGGAGTGTGGTAGTAATGTTTAGCACACCTCCATCCTATAGACCCTCTTCATATCTCTAAACTCAAAGATTATACACTTTCAACAGATATTCTCAATATATGCAAGAACTATGCTTATGCATACACCCGCTGACCTCTCTAATACTTAGTATGCATGAACTGTATCTTAAATTTTATACCTTTCATTCACTTTCCTCAGTAGCCGAAGTTTAAGCAGACATTGGCAAGAAAAGTAGACAAGTAATTAATCCATTCAAGCATTCAAGTGCCTTCTCTATATAAGCACATTGCAATGTGCCTGGCATTCATGATGTACTTTACTTCAGGATATTTTAAATTACTGAAAAATATTTGAGTTAATAATCAAGAACCCCTTTTTGTTAGTTGGTTGGTTGGATTGTTAGATAGTTGGAGGTTTGCTGGAAAGAGAAAGGAGAGATGAGAGATAAAGAATGCATTTTAATTCTTTTCTTTCCTTCCCTACACACATGTGCATGCGTGCACATGCACACACGCGCGCGCGCACAAGCGCACGCTTGGTTCTCCGATTCCTTTGATACCTTGCGTTCAGTGTTGGACTTAACTGACATAAGAAACTCACTGTAGAGAGGCAGGTCCCACCCCCACCCCCTGCCACCCCAAGCTGAAGCTGTTCTCCATAGTGCTGAAATGTTCACTTAAAAGTAAGCATGGTCTGTAGGTACATACAGGGTGGGGTTGATGCCATACCAACCACAGGTCTCTCTCAGCCAGAAGACGAGAGACATTTGTACTGCCCATTGACAACACCAGTTGACACAACTTTATGCTCCCATTTAGAAAAAAAAGGAAATCTCATTATTTGTAGCATATATTTTAAGGTCAGTGAATAATGCTGGGTTGTTTTCACGTTAAAACTACTTTTAAATGGATGAGTCTGATTGCATGGAGTTTCGATAAATACTGAGATCTGTGAACAGGTACGTCTTAAAACATTCTTTTCCACCACCTCCTGGAATTCCTTTAGATTTGGGGTATGTAGGGGAGTAAAAATGCTATCTTCAATTTGTTGTACAGGGAGGCAGAGTCTATTGGCTGGCATAGCTGCATCTGGTATGTCTTGATGTGTCTCTTTAAAAATGTATAAGGTATAAGAAAAACACCAATTGAGATAATAAGCATTGGAAATTGTAACATGCTCATCATTTATTTTGTATTGTTCACAGGAATTGTTACTGGAGCCTATAGGGTTGATTACACCCCCAAAAAACAGAACATCAAGGCTAAAACATATCTGTGGTGAAAGCTGTTTTAGTTATGAGTGGTATTTCTGTTTTTTGTTTTTGTAAAAATACTTTGAGACTATTTTAATAAGCAGTCTAAAGTATCCAATAAAATGCACATGATTATCATCCACAGTCCAGAAAAATATGTCTGTAGTAAAGTTAATATTCAGGATCTTATCTTTCCTTGAAAATTAGATCCCACATGCCTAGGAAAAAATACGTTTCAAAGTCCTAAACTTACATTTTTTGAAAAAAATGGGCATGTTCTGTGACAAGAACTAGGTTTGGAACCTTTGCAAAGAGATTCGCTAATTGCAGGTCAGACCTAGTCAATGTACTGAGAAATTTCAGCAGCTCACCAGGGAGTGCCCGGAAGGTTCTGTGCACATTCTGTCAGTTCCTGGAAAGAGCGTGAGTTAGAAGCCCTCAGAGCTCAGGACTTCGCGCTTGCTGCCTAAAGTGGGAGACTGGAGAAGCTGGGAGACCCATGTGCTGTCATCACCTCACCTGTGGCTCTCTGTTTGACTGTCTCTAAGAAGCATGAATGGTTGGGGAAAGAGGACGAACTGAGACTAAGGGAGTAGAAATTGGGTTTGGTTTGGAAAGAAGAACATTAAAGAAGGTGAAGAGCCTTTTCCAACTCCAAAAGCAGCTCAGAAATTGCTCCATGCCTCCACAAACCAAACCTTGGTAATTTGTGCTGCTCATTTAGGCACGTGAATCCACACACTAGCAGGGTGCCCGCCCCCATTGTCCTTGTCTAGGTTGCCCCAGGATTCCTACAGTCGGCCTCCCAGGCCCTTTTCATGCCCCTTGAACTGGAAGCCCTGAGTCTTCCCGGGAGTTACCTTGACTGGACTAGAGGGTGCTCAGTGGGCAGGTAGATTGGGGAGCGAATAGCGCTGGCTGATGACCCTCCCCACTCCACGAACCCTCAGTCAGTCAGAAGTCAGGTCCAGACTCTGCCCTATAGTGGAACCCTCCGGACTTTGGCGAGTCCGTATGGAAGAACCCAACTTAGGGATGAAAACTTGGAGGCTTGAAGCTAGCAGGCTCTGAGGAATCCGCCCTGTCCCTAGTGGTCCCCTAACTCTGCTCTTGAGAACTGGGCATGTCTGAGAGCACTCAGAGCCTCGGTAGCCAGGGATCAGGGCTGAGCACCTGGACCACCCGATGCCCACCCAGACACCCAGGAGAGCGCATCTCCGCGCCCCAACCAAATGGCTGCAGCCGTGTGTGACCTCCTGCCCAGAGTAGGGTACCAGCCGGGGTGTACCTGGACCCCTGTATGTACTCTTTCTTGCATTCCTGGAGCCCTGGTCGAACAATCCGCTAACTATACCTAGCCGGGCAGCCCGGCACTCCCCAGGAGTCAAGCAGTGACGCGGTTCCCCCTTCCCCGGCGCCTGCGGTGCGCGCTGACCTCCACCGCCCCCAGCTCCTGTCCCCACGCGGTGCGCGCTGCCTCGCCCGGGACCGGTGGCGTTCGCGTCCCCAAAGCCCGTAGCCTGGAGTGCTCCCCAGGGCTCACTCACCGATCCTGAGTACTTGCGGGGCGGTCTGGGGGAGGATGTAGCAGAGGAAATAGAGGAATGTCCAGCTGGTGTCCGTGGACCAGAGCCCGGGCTGAGCGAGGAGTGTGCGGCGCTCCATCTTCCTAGCTTCTTAATTCATGCCGCCCGCTCGGGCCGGGTCCCACCGCATCCTCCTCCCTGGGATGCTCGGCGTCTGGACCCGGAGCGCTCCCCGCGAAGAGAGATCGAGAGAACGGGCGTGGGAACGCAGAGCGGGCTGGCGACTCCGGGCTCGCTGGGGGCTCCCGGCGTCCACCGCTAGCCCATCACTGCTCCTTCTCCTCCTCCTCCATGGGCCGCAGACCGCGCAGGGGTCGCGAGCTCCTGCTCCGGGAGCCGAGAGACCAGCCGAGGAAAGTTGGTGCCCCAATTTGGGGGAACGTCTCCCTCCTCCGTCCTCTGGTCGGATGCGAAAGTGGGGGTGAGGTGGAGGGTGCAGCAAGAGAGGGAAGGAGGGGAAGGGAAGAGGGGAAGCAAGCGAAGGGAGGAGGAGAGCGGGTACCCGGCGAGTCGGTGCAGGGGCTCCAGCACGCTGGAGAAGCTCCAGCAGGTTAACTGGGATCCGAGCCACGCTCTTCCTTGCTTCTCGCAATCTTCGCTTTGCGCCTCCCCTCGCTCGCCCCGCCCTTTATTGACTGCCCGCCCCAACCCCGCTGATCAGACACTCGCACACGCACACGCGCACGCACCCTCTCCCTCTTCCTCAACTTTGCGCTGTGCGGTTGGAAAGTCGACTAAGTGTTGTTGCATCCTCAAAGCAGAGAAATTGTAGCCTGCCAGTCAGAGCAGAGGCAGCCTCTGCTGTGGGCGGTGAGAGGCAGAGGGGCCTCCCCGTGGTCCTGTTACGGGGTCGTAGAGATGGTCAACTAGGGTTTATTCCATCGCTTGGAGCATCGCTTTCCCGGACGCTGGTATCTCAGAGAATAGCAGAGCTCTGGTTTCAACTCTAACAAGGATGAAGAAGAGGAGGAGGGGGAGGAGGAGAGGGACAAGGAACCTTCGTCACTCCAAGATTAGCGTGGCTTCTTTCCTATTCAGACCGGAGATAATCTCTTGTAAATTGCTTCCACTTAGGCCTGCAGATCTGGGAAACAGGCAGCCTCCAGCGCCGCTCCTTTTCTTCGTTTCTTTTGACTGTCACGTTTGAACGCTGGAAGATAGGTTATTTTAGCAATGTAGGTTTGGGGACTAGTTCTCTGTGGAAGGACAAGGACACTTCCCTGGGGAAATCATCAGTATTTGATCATTTTGGCTTAATTTCCTTTGAGCTTGTGGGGAATGTCCTATATAAAGTGTTTGCTGCTTCTGCATTGAAATTCATTGAAATCTGCCCTCCCCCCCCCCAAGTATGGATTTTGGAGAATTGACCTAAACTGAATCAACCCATCTGAAAAACATGTCCACAGATATATGAACCTAGACTAAGAAACACTTAAAATAAATCTATTATATCCTAAGATGCAGTCATTCATTCATTTAACAAATATCTACCGAGTATCTTGTATGTGGTGCCAGAGATACTGTACTTTTCACTTATGATTCTATAGGGGCAAAAATGCGTCATCCGTCCTCCAAGAGGGGTTAGAAACACACTGATGGAAGCTACTCCGTTCAAACCTCAGGTAGTGTGCCTTGTTCTGGATACTTTGGGATGAGAGCTGACAAAACAGAAGATCCACAGTTAAGAAAATGGATTGATCTGGATTTAGGAATACATCTTATATATGGACTGAGGAAACCAAGAAGACTTAGGGGCATATGCTGATTGTCTTCAGAAATTTGAAGAGCCCTTGTGTCAAAAGAAAGTAGTCTTAGACACTGTTAGTTAAATGAGAAGATATAAGAAAAATAAGAATATTGGATGGAAGTTGTAGAAGAGTAAATTTCACCTTATTTTGGGGGTAGGGGGGCAGGGACGAACATTTCTAAGTCAGGAAACTATCAAACAATGGTATGACCTGCATCAGAAGATTCCCAGGCTTCATTTATTCATTCATTTATTCATTGGTTCATTCAATGAATATTTGAGTGCCTACTTTGTAGGAGGCATCGTGCCCAGCCCTGGAGACACCGCAGCAATGTGGGTGCTGCCATCATGAAACTCATGGATATTAAAGAAGTGGGATGAGTTTACAAAATGGTAATTTGGGCATGAAGAAAAGGAGGAATTTAACCTCACTTAGGAGCTTGGGAAGGCCTTGATAACCGAGTAATGCTTCAAAATTCAAAGAATGGGTACTTTATAAATAATTAGTATTTCTTAAAGTGAGAATAAATATAAAATTTGTTAGAGGACTTAGTTTTTAAATCTAAAGATTCGTGTTAAGCATATGCAGTTGTCTTTTTTTTTTCTTGGTACAATAGATAGTAAATATCACGTGATTAGATTTTGAGAACCCATAGTCTAGAATTCGGTCAGCTTTTTGAACAAACTGTGTTTGAATCCTGGTTTTACCTAATTCTAGCTTTGTAGCGTTGGCTAAATTACTTTATCTCCCTGTAGTAGAGGTTGCTGGTGCTTACCTATATCCAGTTCTCTTCTTGCCAGGCACATTAAAACTTGTACCTTTTAAGTTAAGTATAATCACTTGATTATTTTTAGCTAACAAAATGTAAGTGGAAGTGATATGCACCAATTCTGGATGAAAAGGAAGGCAGTGAAAAGATTTCACACGGCCCTCTAGGACTCTCTTCTCATGCCAGAATAACCCTGAAAGTCAAAATTCTAGAGGTCAAGGTGGAAGTTGCCTGGATCCCTGAGTCACATTTTGGAGAGGAGTTGCTCTGAATAGTTCTCAGACAAACAACCAACTGGTGACAAGTCAATGACAAATGAATTTTGTGTTTTAGATCTTGAGATCTGTTTGTTACTGTAGCATAACCTACTCCATACTGACTGATAAACTCTTTAAGACTTGATATCCTCATCTGTAAAATGAGACTAATAATATGATAAGGCCATTGTAGGATTATATGTGCATATACTTAATAGAAAAGTGTTTTCCATATAAACTATAAAGTATTTTCCAAAGCCCTTGTTACTCAGCATACTTGTACATTAGTTCATTTATGGTAATTACTTTCTTGGTTAAATGAATCTTCACATGCATTTCTAGTTTAAATGTGCCTCAGATGACAGAGACTAAAATATTTTATCTGGAGGGAAATGAATCAACAATATTGGTTCCATTAATTATATAGTAATAGTAATTGCTCCAATACTGTTGAAGGAAATTTTACCTGCATTTCCTTCGGCCTATGAGTAAACAGTTCTTTTTGGTTGTTAGAGATAAGAGAAAGATTGTATTTCCTAAAGTAGTTTTCTTAAAACATGCCACACTTAAGTTACTTTTCTGTTATCATCTGTAAAATTCTGTGGAGCTTCAAACTGAAATTTATTTCCTTGTTAAAATGCTTCCCTCCACTGCTCATATGCACAGGCTAGTGGTGTTGAGTTACTCATGAGTGATCAGCAGCTGCTGTTAATTTGTTTCGTGCTTTTTAGAAGGACTGTATTTTGCATATATATGTGTGTCTAGTTATTTTTTTTTGCCCAAAATGACTATGTTAAACACTCTTGATTCACATTTTTCACAGTGACTTCTTAAGAATAAAAATGTCCGATTGAGTGCATGCTGTCTTTTTTCCCATTCTCCAAATCTGAAGCTTGAATTAATACACTGTGGTTAATAGCAAAGCAATAGAGTAGCATACAGCCTTGTGCTTCCTATGAGAGCTGGTAACATTACTTAGATACTAATCCACGTAAAATTACTTTTTTAGCAATAATTAGATACAAACAAATCTAGCTTAGAATAAGCTAAGGAACCCAGATATTATAATTGTGTGTTTCAAAATGTGGTGTGTATACTTGAGTATATTTGTAATGTTACCCAGGGCAGTGAAAGCAAAAGCGCAAGTGTCCTTTAGCACATCCTAGGAATGTGCAGCAGATTTAGGATCACAATCCTCACTCCTTGGCTGCTTCTTTATCTATTCTTTTTTATCTAGGTGATGTTGTATGTTTCTAAGCTGTTAAATACCTTAGGTCCCCAAATTTTGTCTTGTGCTCAGAGCTTGCCTCTGAACTCCAGATTCACATAGCCAATTCTAATTGCTATTTTTCACTGACTCAGCACGTCAAACTCTTGATTCTGTGCCATATCATCTCCCCCTCCCCAGGCCCTCTTCCAAATTTTCTCATTTCAATATGTGTATCACTATCCATCCAGCTATTAAAACTGGAAGCACATCTTGAATCTACATCTCTGCAGCTCTGCTGCTTTCACACTGGCCTGGGGTTTCTCACCTTCAAAATGTTTTTGGACATTTTGGACCAGAACATTATTGGTTGTGGAAGCTGTCCTGTGCATTGTAGGATGTTTAGGAACTTCCCTGGACTCTATCCACTAGATGTCAGTAGTACCCTCCTCCCAAGTTGTGACAGCCAAAAAATGTCTGCAGACATTGGCAAATGTCCTCGCAAGTACAAAATCACCCCTGATTGAGAACCACTGCACTTGCCCACGTCACCGTGGTCTTCCATCCGGTCTGTTATTCTATACTCTTCATTGTCCTTCTCCTGCTATCTGCCTCTTTCTATCTATTCCGTCCATCTGATCTAAATTAGCTGCGCCCATTAATATTCATCATAATGCCCAGTTTAATTCCCTCATGGTCATGATCAGCTCTCTAATTGTTTATTTACTTTATTATAAACTCAATGATGTCAAACTACTCTCTTTACCTGAAACCTCAGCACTTAATACTGTGCCTGGCACTTGGGGGGAACTTGATAAATATTAAATGAATGAATGCATGAATGAGTGATATCTCATAAGCCATACAACCTATCACTCATAAGTGAATATTTATAAGAGTGAACTAAATAATGAGCCAAATTTCTCTTTCGATTTCATTCAAAACTCCAGCATGGATCAGTTTATATTTAGTGTCACACTCAGGACACTCATATGGTGCACTGACCCTAGTCACACTGGAGAATAATCTTACGTATGTGTCTACGAATTTCAGTGAAATGCTCTATGGTTTAAGGGTTTCTCTTAACATTTCATGTTTCAACACCGTATCTATCATTACACACACCTTAACAATTTTAGTGTAATTTTTATACTAACACTGGTTCATTTGCTAATGCACATGTACTAAAACCTTAGAAAAACAAAACAAACATGTTTTATTTATTCATATTTTGACATCCTATTATCACAACCTGAGAGTGTAAAGACATTTAGTCACGTGAAAGGTCTGAACCAAGGTGGGATGTAGCTACCTCTATATATAAGAGAGGCGCCTCCAAGACTAAAGAATAGAAGACCTAGGCTGGACACTCAGGATGTCTGGAGACCTCGGTCCCAACCCTGGCTTGATCATACCATGGCTCACCACTCTTGGGCCAGCCACATAACCTCTTTAGACCTCAACCAGGATGTGGAGTGGCTGGCTAATGTCTAAAAATCAGTGGGGATGCATGTTCTTCATTTCTCCTTTCAGCCCTAACATTTTCATTAAGGAAGAGCTCACAGCTTATCTCTGTTCTCTTCTGGTTATAAATAAGCTTTACCTTAAGCAAACGAGCATTTATTTTGTGCTTATTGCATATGGCCCGCACTAATCTTGGTGCTGGTATGTGTATTCATGTACTTAATACTGACAGCAACCTTGAGAGGTAAGTCCTCCTCTTATGCAAATGTTACTGATGAGGAAACTGATCCACAGGAAGGTGACATGACATACTGGAAATCACACAGTAAATAACAGACTCGGAATTTGAACTTACGCTGGCTCTAGAGCTTTCACTTTTTTAAATTAAGGTGAAATTTACATAACATAAAATTAACCATTCTTAAGTCAATAATTCAGTGGCATTTAGTACATTCGCAATGTTGTGCAACCACCAACTCTACCTAGTTCCAGGGTGTC